CGAAAATACACGTCGGGCTCAAGATGTTGAAGAATACGCCCATAAATCCAGACGCGACACCAACTGACACACAAAGACATCATTAATACAAATGAGTGGTAATTAATGGCAGGTATAGAGGAGACAAGACATACAGAGTCCGGCAATAGTGGCGACCACTTTGGCTCCGGTAGTCAAAAGCCAGGGCACATCCGAGTGCGGGGTCGGCGTCGGTGGCCCTTCTGTTGTGGCATTTGATCGCAAGAAATTCATTGTCCACTCAGTCCTCGGATCCTATTATCAGATGAAATGGCCGTTCAGTGCACACAATGGATGTATGGATGTGTTGGTTGTATGGACGACACAAACACACGTTTATGTGTTTATAATAAACACTAATAAATGTAAACTATTTGATGAAAAAAGTGCCAAAAAATGGTTTCGTTTTGAGAGAAACGTGAAGAAAATGAGTCCAAAAATAGTGTCAAAATGAATGGCAAACGACACGCAAAACACAATACGTTTCACTCGTATTGTCGTAATCAGTGAATTGATAAGAGAGTGAAACGTAAGTTAGATCATTTGAATACAGTACTGTACTGTATATCAAAACTTATATAAAATTAGAATATGAGAATGGCACATTCATTTACTAGACATTGCATTTATACCCAGATTATAATCATTAAAATATATATAATTATATGTATATATATATATATATATGTATATGTATTTTAGATACTCATTAAAACACACACTCAGTACTCAATACTAGTTTGAAAAGTTTTATTTGCATTGAATACTGAGTACGTGTTTTAATGAGTATTTTAGATACTATTGATGATCTGGATATACAGTAAATGCAATTTCTAGTAAATGAATGAACAATAATTTTAATTTTATATGAATAATTTTTATTAAACATTAAATTGATATTTTTGTAATTACAGTACTGTAATTAAATGTATCTTTTAAATTAAAAAATTTGAATTACAGTAATACTTGATTCATATTTTTTATATAAAAATTTATGATTGTATTACAATAATAATAAAAAATTTGAATAAATTCTGAAACAATTGATAAACGTCTCAACAACTAATAAAAAAGATTTAAATATTATGTTTATTAACCAGAAGTGCAATTTGAAATATTATAAAATCAAATATCATAATACTATTTTATATCTGAAATTAAATTTTAATTATTTTGGTTTTATACTTTATTAATCCATTATACTAGTATATAAAACAAACAAAATAATAGAGTATTATAAATTATAATTTATAATCAAAAGATCAAAAATCTAAGGCAAAGGCTTTTTTAAAATAAATAAATACTTTAATCTCTGAGTATAGACCTTATGCCTATTACACAAATAAGAGCTACATATTCATAATAATGATAAAAATTCTTAGTATAATATTAGTAATAATTATAATAAAATCTAAACAATATTTTCACAGAATGATATAAAAGAGTTAATATATGAGATGTCTCTGAAGATCATAGATAAATCTGTATTGATATCTAAGTTGTAATTAAAATCTGACGATAATTCACTCTCTCTTCGATATATAAGGCATTATAAAAAATATTGAATAATAAATACTATATTACTGTTAGATCTTTTATGCAATTCTCAAAATACAAATTAACACTCAGCTCTCCCTCTCTCTCTCTCTCTCTCTCTCTTTCAGATTAGGAAAAGTGACAACACTTTAAACTGAATACAAGATCCTATAATGAGTGAAGAAGTCATATAATATATCATAAGTGAGATAAGAATCGGATCTTTATTATGAATGTATGTATGAATGGGTGAATGGGAACAAACAAATGTAAAACAGAATAACATATTTGAGTGTTAAATGCAAAATGGGTTACAAAATAAAACTATATCCCAATAACACGATTTATATCTCTCGCTTTTAAACTTCAAATTTGTTTTGAATAATATTTTTAAGTCACAAGCGTTTTTGTCATTAAATATGAGTTATATATTTGTCAAGCATTTTATAGAATATTAATTTGCTATATAATTATGTATTTTAATCACTTTATATCATTGAATTGATTTTAAGTATCATACACTTTGTAATTGATCGCTAAGAAAAAGGAAATCATAATATGTTAGAGTAATATGTCCAAGTTATAACACGGTAATTTAAATCCAAAACCCTTGGATGACTTGTATAACTTATAGGCTATAAGTTATAGCACTCGTAAACAATTACTAAATTATCTTCAGTTCTTAAATTCAAATTCAATTCATGTATTAATGAGAACTGAAGTCTACTGTAATGAAGCAAACGATCGATAAGAGAAATAAACTTATTATTTATTTTAACATTTGATCGCTTTTTCATTTGCAATGAAGCGTAAAATATTATCAATGAATTAGTTTTTAAAAAAATTAATTACGAGTTGATTGGCGACAAAAAATTGCTTAAATTAATTGTTTTGTAATTTATTCTCATTTGTATAAATGATACACCAAAAAAATCGGTCAATACTAATACGTGTTTCAATGAACACAAATGACAAAATAACTACAAATTAATCATTAAAACTACTTTATATATTATATTTATATTTACATAATCTTAATCCTAGAGTAAAAAGACCATAAATTCATTAAAAACTATAAATTCGTTTCACGTAATGCTGTAACTATTGTGACATAACTGTTAATAATGAAAGTATTATTTATCAGTGAATTCTTATACTTCAGTCCGTATCAAATTGCTTTCAATAATTGTTTTTATGTAAATTAGTTTTTGTTATTTACTATTCAATCTATACAATTATTGGTACAATTATTACAATACAATACAATTACTTACCGGTATTTTAAAAATATATGAAGATTGTTTTAGATTTCTAATTTAAAGTTATTTACGATATTTTCAGAAGAGTTTTGCAAATGATTGCAATTACTAAATTATTATCTCAATAAATAAAATTATTCATTAGTAAAAATTGAATTAGTTGAATTGAAAGAATTGTACAGTAATGTAGTAATTTATCGATAGATAGTAATTTATTCTTATATTAACTATTTTGACAATAAATTTGATAACCAGTTTGAATGTCAATATTTTTGGGTTTCGAAACATAAAAATATTTTGATTGAAATCAGGGATAAATGATTTGAAGACCAGATTAAAGGTTTTTACGTTTATTTCAGATAACATAAGATTCTAATCAATTAGAAAAACCAATAAATAAATAGCTTTTTGTAATAATAATTCTCAAATAAAAGCAAATAATTTGTGTGTTACTAATTTATAAAAATAAAAGCAACATTTAATTTAATTAAATTGTTTGCATTCATGGCATACATTATATTATGTTTAATTTTTTAAATGAAATAAATTTATACAACAATTTGTTTGTATAATAACATAGGAGCAAAAACTATTCTATATAATCTGGATCATAGATCTTAGACAAGGCTTAATAGAAAATTTTTATTTATTTAAAAAATAAATTTCCAAAACAAACAAAATTTATTGGGATTTCAAATGACACTAAAGTGTTATATAAGAGCATAAAAATGAATGAATGAATACTTTTTCAAATCCAAACATTTGAATTATACTGTAGTAATACAAAAGCAATTACTTTATAGTAATATGGAGTGAATTCTTATGTAATTCTTTTCAAACAAATATCATATTATAGATAAGAAAAGCAATAAAAGTGTTGAACTTTTTTGCAAAAATATTTATCGAGACTCTCGTGTGAGTAATGATTTCCGTTTTAATAAATCTATTTCGCTCTCAAGTCTAGGAAATACTTTTATTTTATTTGTCACTGAATTTAAAAATAAAAGGTTTTAAATAAATTAAATTTTCGCTCAAAAAATGTGTTAAAAATGATAAATAGTTGTGGAAATTGTTTTCTGGTTGTTAACCTAATATTGTGTCTATTATTCCTAGTTATTCAATGAGAAAGTAAACCAAATGTGAACTTGACATTTCTAAATAAAATTTTAATTATTTAATTAGTTTTTATCATTTTAATACAGTATTCATAACAAACAAATTACTCAGTAATTAATATAAGTAAGTTTTATATAATTGTACTGTATTTGTATTGTATATCATACTAAAAATTAATCCTAAATCAAACAATTTGAATATTAATGATGCGATTAAAACTGAATACAAACATCAAATAAAAGTCTTATAACTTTATTCAGAAGTTATTCAAACATTGATTACGAGTAATAATAATAACAACAAAAAGTTTATGCAAAATCTATTCAATCAAAATAAAACACAATTAAATGAATTAAAAGTAAAATAAAGTATTGAATAAAGTTTTTCACATGAAAACACATTTGAAATGCGATCCCTTTTACGCTATAATAATAGGCATTCATTTCGTCATAGATTTAAACACTTCAAACACGTTATCAGTTTTCATACATAACCAAAGCGACACTCAAAATAGTCATTCAATAGCTATCATGATATCCATATAATAATACATTTTATAACAAAAAATAATTATTTCATATTTATTCAGAGTATTGAAAGTCAAACGCTATTAACGTTTCACTCTCTTATCAATTCACTGATTACGACAATACGAGTGAAACGTATTGTGTTTTGCGTGTCGTTTGCCATTCATTTTGACACTATTTTTGGACTCATTTTCTTCACGTTTCTCTCAAAAC